TGCGACAGCTCTTCTGGCGTCGGCTGCACATCAGCGTCTCCGGTGGAGCTTCTTCAAAACACATGAGTGCCGGGCACCGCGGCCAGAGCTTGGGTGTAGGTGGTTTGGAAGATTAATTTCAACCAGATCTGTGGGTCCCCGAGGGGCAAACCCGGTCTTCTGCTCTGTGAACCAAGTCTCCCCAGGTGAGCCTGCGCGCAGCCAGGCGTGAGAATTGACAGCCGCCACCCCCGGAGCCTCGGAAAATGCTTGGCTGACTTTGGACGGATTGGCCGGAATCCGGATGTGGGCCCTGGCTTCCCAGCCAGCGGCTCCAGTGCCCGACCAGCCCGCGGGCTCCGTGGATCCTGTCCGGGCGGAGGGGGAGGGGGGCTGATGGTTTGGGTGACCAGGGGGCGATCAGGGCCTGAAACAGTCGCGCTTCGTGGCGCACGGGCAGTGGCTCCGGGAAGAATTCGGGTCAGCGCGGTTGGATCTTGGCAGCCTCTCTCCTTCCCTAAGAGGCGCCTGGTGACTTCCCAGCGGCTGCAGGCGGGGTTCTTGGCAGGACGGACGGTGAGCAGAGCGCACTCTCTGGGAATAACCCAGTTCCTCCGCGTCCCAGGCCACGCTGCATAAAAGGCTCCGTTACTGTGTCGTCCTGGGGAGCTGTGGACACAATGATTCTTTCCTGAATGAGGCCCGGCCCCCGGGGGACTGTGGGGACGCGGCCTTTGAGTCTCTGGCCTAAAACGTTGGAAGAAACAGGCTTTGCGCTGGTGGTTGACAGCAGTTGTTGAGACGTTTGCTAATGAGGCTGGCGTCCTGGCCCCATCCCTCTGGAGTGATGAGCGTGGTTCCGAGCGGAGCCCCCAGCCTCGCCAGCACCTTGCCGAGGCCCTCGGAGCCTCGTGTGGATGTGAGAGTGCAGGTGGCTCGCCCTCTGGGCTGGGGAAGCATCTGTCTCCGTGACGCGGCCCACGGACGCTGCCCACGGTCACAGCCAGGCTCCAGGCCCCGGGCCGTTTCTGCCATTTACGCAGCCTTGACGAAGGAGTGACCCTGGTTAGAAGGCACTGACACCTTAGTCCAGCTTCCACTCACAGCCGAGGCCGGCAGGGGGTGCTGAGGAGACCAGGACGGGGCGGAGGGCCGTGCTGACGTGTGGGCCGAGTGGGGATCCGTGGAAGGGACGTG